TGGATTTTGTCGAATGCCTTTTCTGCATCCATTGAGATGATCATATGGTTTTTGTCCTTGCCTCTTTTAGTATAGTGTATTACATTTATTGATTTACATATGTTGAACCATCCTTGCATCCCTGGGATAAATCCAACTTGCTCAGTGTGTATGATTTTCTTGATGACCCTCTGTGTTCTTTTTGCCAGTATCTTGTTGAGGATTTTTGCATCTGTGTTCATTAGATTGGCCTGTAGTTCTCTTTTTTGGTTGGGTCTTTCCCTGGTTTTGGAATCAAAGTAACACTTGCTTCCAGGAATGAATTTGGGAGTATTACTTCCCTTTCACTTTCATTAAAGAGTTTAAAAAGTAGTAGCAATACTTCTTCTCTAAATGTCTTGTAGAATTCAGCCGTGAAGTTATCAGGGCCTGGGCTTTTCTTGTTTGGTAGATTTTTAATTACGTTCTCAATTTCACTGATTGTAATAGGGGTGTTTAGGATTTTTATATCTTCTTTGTTCAACTTTGGTATTTCATATGTATCCAGGAATCTGCCCATTTCTTCTGTGTTTTCCATTTTATTAGAATACAGGTTCTTGTAGTAGGTATTGATGATCCTCTGGATTTCTGCTGGATTTGTTGTGACTTCTCGTTTTTTGTTCCTAATTAATGTGGATGTGAGGCTTTTCTGGTAAGGTTAGCTAAGGGTTTATCAATTTTATTTATTCTTTCGTAAAACCAATTCTTTGATTCATTGATTTCTTATATTGTTCTGTTAGTCTCCATTGCATTGATTTCTGCTCTGCGCTTTATAATTTCCTCCTTTGTATGAGCTTTGAGTTTGTTATGCTCTTCTTTTTCTAGGAGCTTGAGGTTCTGCATTAGGTTGTTTGAGCTTTCTCTGTTTTCCTAGTATGGGCATTTACTGCTATGAATTTCCCTCATAGAACTGCTTTCATTGTGTCCCATAGATTTCTGTATGCTGTATTGGCATCATCATTTAATTGTAGAAACTAATTTCTTGTTTTTTAAATTAAAAAAATTTTTTTTAACCACAGGAGACTGTAAAGGATTATTTTTA